TGTGTGTGTGTGTGTGTGTGTGTGTGTGTGTGTGTGTGCGCGTGCGCGTGTGTTTGTGTGTGTGTGTGTGTGTATGCGTGCGCGCGTGCACGCGTGCATGTGTGTGTGTGTTTGTGTGTGTGTGTGTGCGCGTGTGTGCGTGCGTGCGTGCGCACGTGCATGTGTGTACGCACGTATGCTGTATGATCGTATTCATGTGTTTGTGTTGTCCTTTTGTGTGTGCGAATGCCCAGGTTTGTGTGCCATGTGCCAATGGGGCATATACAATTGGTGTCGCAGGCAAGGTGCACGTATGCAATCATGTTTGAAGTTGCAAAAGCACGGCACAGGTGCGTGCGATTGCGGCACGTTGGCTGCCATGGCGCCCGCACTATCGCCCATTGGCGCAGCCACCCTCCAAATTGACATGCATGCCGCGCACGGACGGGTCAGCTGTTTGGGCCAGAGGCAGCCCCTGGCTTCCTGGCCCAGCCTCGCGCACCTGGACCTGCTGTGGAACCTGTGGAACACGTCCACCACGTTGGGGCTGACGAACCAAGAGGGTCGGGTGCAAAAGCGCGAGCCATCGGACCAAGGTGATGGGCCGCTTGGGTGCAGAAGTGCCAATCGATGAGGTGTGTAATGGGGCGCAAGGCACAGCAGCTGCTGCATGCTCACCATCCCAAGCGGTTGTCCGCCTCCCCACAGACAGCAGCAACCGGATGCTCTCTCTTGCACCAAGCCCTCAATTGCACTGCAACACACGTGGCCCAGTATCTGACGACCGCAGAAATGACAACACGCGCATGGCGAGTATGGGCAGGTCAGGCAGCGTGACCGTGCGTGCGCCCTGCCAGGAGCGCGGTGCGCACCTGTCGATGCCAAAAACGCGCGCCCTTGCTTCAAAGTTGTCGACCTCGTCCCTCTCGCAGTACTCCGCGCCGCAGTTCGTGACATACATGCTCCGGCCCAGCAGCCCCCTCCCCTGCGGCGGAGGCGGCGGCGCGGGGCTGTGAGTCAAGGGCTGTGCTCTGCCGCACACAGCGCTTGCCCGCAGGCGAGCAAGCCCCCATGCGGTTTATATGCAGAATTGAACACAGAAAGCAATGGCTCTTGCAACACATTGCATTTGGTATGGCAGGTGGCAGTTACATCAATACGCCCACAAAACACCAGGGCCGGCGGGCCTACGCGCGCACAGGGCACAAATCGAGGCTGCTGCTTGCGCTTGCTTGAGAACTTCGCCAATGTTTTGAAGCAACACCAACAGAATTCCAGGGCGACACTCGCACCCTTCCCTACCTGCTCAGTGAGGCCCGGGAAGGACGACACTGCGTCCGCCACCATGGAACGCAGGTGGCTGGGGGCGATGTAGCACTCACAGTGCTCACTGTCGTAGTCATCCTCATCGTCACCGTCCTCGTCCTCTGACTCATCAGCCACCAGCTTCGTGCCAGGATTCAGCCTCTGCTCGCCGCCGCTGCGGCCGCTCTGGCCGCCAGTGGCGTTGGCCCCTGCACGCTTGGCCGCGCGCTTCGCCGCGCGCGCCGCGTCCCTGCATGCTGCCATCTCCAGCGGGGCGCGCGCTGCGCTGTAGCGCCGCCAGGCCTCGTCGGGGTTGACAGTGGCGTCGGCGCTGTCGTCGATGTTATTTTTAGAGTAATACTGCCACTGCTTTGTGTTGATGTCACCAGCCCAGTCCTCGTCCCAGAGCGCGACGCTCGGCGTGGTCAGTGCCACCTGTGCCATGATGTGGTGCGTGGGGCAGGAGAGGGTAAAATCCTGCAAGCTGAGGCTGCGCGCCAGTATCCCGCCAGGTTTGACCTACTGCTGCTGGCAGCGCAGAGCTCAAAAGTCCATTTGGCGACTGCTGTCGGAGACCAGATATGAGACGCCACGCGCATTCGCTCCTGCAGCAAGAAACATCATGACAAGGCGCCCGGCAATAACTGGGACTCTCACCTGGCGCTGCCCGGCCGGCGGGCTCAGCAGGCCAAACTTGGCTATGGCCTGGGACCTGGGGGATGGCGGCTGGGGCGCCTTTGCGTGGCGACCACGGGCGGCGGCCCCCGCCTGGCGTGCCTGCGTGTCCCGCTTCTTAGCCACAGCGGAGCCACCTTTGGCAGTGCCAGCTGATACATGAGATGTCCCCACAGTGTCTGGATGCTGCGATCCTCGCTTCCGCTTCATGTGCGGCTTGCGGTGACGTTGTGGTGCCGGGCTGTGATCTTACACCGCTGCTTGATCAACACTGGGTATTTGTTGCACGCAGCAGTTTCTACTTGTTATGCTGCATCCACGAGAGCTTACTGGTACATTGATACCGGTGCACTAGGCGCGCAAATTTGAAATGTGCTCAGCGGTCTGTTGGTAGTGACTCGAGTGAGACGTTGCTACAGTACTTTCGGTGCGCTGACATTGTCATTCATGGGTATTCAAGGTCTTTGAACGTTGCAAATCGCGCTGCACCCATGTGCCCACCCACTTGCTCGTCAGCCTGCTGACAGGCTGCCCCGTCGATTGTGCATCGGGGTCCGGGGAACCAGAATATGGCGGTACAACTGATCTACACGGGCAGCGGGCAGCCGCAGCCCGACGTTGTCGCATGCACCAGCGCGCGATCGTACCTGCGGGATGGCGGCGCCCTGCTGGCCGCCCTTGACTGCATGGGACCCAGAGCCGCGACGCTCACATGCCTGTCGCGCACCAAGGCGCTGCTTGTGCAACAGGAGGGAGCTGAGGGCGTCAATGTGCTCCTCAAGTGAGCCACCCCTATCGACTCGCATGCTGAACATCGCTCAGGATGCATTGGCTCTGTTGTAGCACACCAACACTCGCTCGCCGTGGCATGTTGTTGGTGTCCCAGCGCCATGACACAACAAACATCTATCCGCCCAGGGGCAGCGCCTGCGTCCTCGCCATTGGCGACGAGGTCGTCGTCATGGACCGTGCGGCACTGGCCGGCGCGGCGCCCCCAGGCGAGCTGCCAGAGGATGCAGCGCTCGCCTTCATGCTGGCAGAGGCGCCGCCCGGCTCCGCCGCCGCTGCAGCCGCGGCCGCCGCCGGTGGTCACGGCGCTGGCGGCGCCGCGCCGAGCAGCTCACAGCAGCTGGCACCGAGTGCGGCGGCGGCGGCGGCCGCGGCAGCGGCGACGGGCGCTGGAGCCACAGGAATCGGCACGTTGGTGAAGGCGGAGCCGGGGCTCGCGGCTGCAGGCTCGGCCGATGCGCCCTTTGCCCCGCCTCCTCCTGCGCTGGCTGCGCTTGTGGCCGCACCCCAGGCTGCGCCGTCTCTGGCAGCAGCCTCGCACGGCGACTGCCCGCCGGCCTTGCAGGCCCTGCCTGCAGCTGGCCGAGGCACCGAAAGCACCGACGCTGCCGCAGATGCCACTGAAGCACGTTCACCAGCTCCTGGCACAAAAGCCATCGGGGACGGCGGTGCTGATGACACAGATGTTCAGCAAGGCATGGACTCCGGGGACCTGAACACTGCAGCGCAGGGCCCCTCAGCAGCCCCGCTCGTCCCGGTGCTGCCCGTCCAGCCGCCGCATGCGACCCCTCCGCAAGCGACGTCCCCGGTGCGCAGCGGCGGCGTCCCGCCCGCGACCCCCGCATCAGGCGCCAAGCGCGTTGCGCCGCCCGGTGATGAGGAGCTGCCGCCCGCTGTGCGCGTCAAGACTGACCCAGATGCCACAGACGGCGCGGGCACGGGCGGCGAAGGCGGCCGCGCCGGCGGCGGCGGGGCCAAGCCGCCCCCGCTGGACCCGCTGCAGGAGGTGCCCGCGCAGTGCGCTGCGGTCGCATCAGAGCTCCGTGCCGTGCTATTCGGCGGCGGCGAAGCGCCCACCGGGGCAGGGCCCTCTGACGCCTCGACATCGAGCGGAGCGGGCAGCCTGCCCCCCAAGTCGCGCATGGCCGGCCCCGAGATGTCGCGGCTGTGGGACAAGGAGCTGCGGGAGCTGGAGGCGGGCAGCGCTGGCATGCCACGCGTCATCATCGGCGTCGTCGGGGACACGGGGTCAGGTGGGTGGGGTGGGTGCGTGAGGGGGTGCTTGGGGGCTGCCGTCTGCTGGCTTACCAGCGAGGGCTTGCATGCATGCATGCATGGATGGGTGCTTGAATGCATGCTGCATGCATTCAAGCAGCATGGCTGCATGCTGCATGCATGCAGCATGCAGTCCCGCATGCATTCATGCACGCTTGAGCACAGGCATGCATGCATGCTGGGTGGGGTATGCTGCCTGCGCTCCCCCTGGGGCATGAGCACGTGCTCCATAAGGACTGCCAGACTTGCCAGGCGGCATGCATGCATATGTCGATGCGGCTGCGGGGCGTCTCATCTCACAACTACCTGTGTGCCGTGCGCTGCATGCGCTGTGCCTGCTCTGTGCCTGCTGCCGGGCCATCCCCTTCCGATTACCCTCTGCGTTCTGCCTCAACCCGCCCTCACGCCCTCCAGGCAAGAGCAGCCTGCTCAACGCGCTGCTGGGAGAGGACAATATACTGCCGACCAACGGCATGCGCGCCTGCACAGCAAGGTGCCCCGCGCGCCCGCTCGCATATTGGCCCCATGCTGCACACAAATTGTTGGATCGAACCCGCGGCCGCGGCCCCTCATGCGCCCCTCGCCTCTTTCCTTCCTGACTGCCAAGTGCTGTTTTTTGCCCGCCCTTGAAGGCCCATACCCTACTCCTCTGCCTCCCCTGCTCCCCTCACCCCTCCCCCTGCCCCTGTGGCCCCAGCGTGATCGAGGTGTCGTACGCGGCGACAGGGCGCTACGTGGCCGAGATCGAGTTTGTGTCGCGCGAGGAGTTTGACCAGCTGCTGACACAGGCCCTGGAGGACCTCAAGGCATGATAAAGGGGGGGCAAGGAGCGGGAGGCCTCGGGGGACTGGTTGCAATATGCGTGCAGTGTTGAGAGAGGCCCAGGATCGTCCCCTCTGTGACATCAGCGTGCAGTCGCCTGCCCCTGCGTACCTCCCTGCTGCCGCCCTGATCCGTGTTGCAGGATGATGACGGTGTGGTGACGGTGCAGTCGTCCATGGAGCGCAACGTGGACGCGCGCAACGAGAAGGGCGCGGCGCAGGCGGTGCTTGAGGCCATCTACGGCCGAGAGCTCATCAGGTGAACGACAGGGCGCAGCATGTGGTTGTCTGAAGTAAAGTGATTCGTTCTCCTTGTTTGTGTGTGTGTGTGTGTGTGTGTGTGTGTTTGTGTTCGGGTGTTGGGTGTCTGTGCATATTTGTGTGTGAGTGTGTGTGTGCGTTTGGGTGTGTTGCTCTGCACGTTGTGCCACAACAACATGCATGTGAATGCGCACATATGAGATCGAGCGGACAAGGTGATGGTGCTGCCCATGCTGGGGTTGCAGTGGCTGCCTTTTGAGAGTGCTCATGCTGGCGCTGTTCTGGTGGCAGCAGAAAGCATTTCGGCCCACCCTCATTATAACTTTCCGTAACCCCACAGGACGTTCCCTGGCCGTCTGAGCCTGGAGGCGCTGCAGCGGCGCGGCAACAGCGTGACTGCCCTGGTCGGCTGCGGGAAGCGCATCAACGAGGGCAGCGCCAAGGAATTCAGGCGCGGGCGGTTTCCCGCGCAGCTGCTGTCCCTCGTATTGCCGGCAGGGCGCCCTTGCAGGCGTCCCCTGTTTGCCTTAAAAGGGCTCCTGCACAGAATGCCGGCATGCCTCAACACACGGCTATCCAGCCAAGTTTGCAGGTCTCATCCTTGACTCCTCAGAACTACACACGACACATGGCATGAGATTGATGATGCTGGCTCTTTTCTCGGTGGCGCTCTGCCGCACAGGAAGCAGCTGGGGGTCTACGCAGACAGCCACAACCAGAGCGGCCAGCCACAGGTGCGCGCGGAGCGCTCTGCAGGGCTTTGGTCAATTGGCCTCACCTCCAGTGCCGTGCGCATTCCCGATGAGTGACACTTCAATGCGCTCCATGATCAATACCCTGCCTTAGATTGCACGTGCCGACGCGTGCACGCAGGCGTGGCCGCTGGTGCGGCTGTGCCGCATCTCCCACAACTGGGAGGTGCTGCGGGGCGGCGCGGTGCTGGTGGACCTGCCGGGAGTGAGGGACGCCAACGCGGCGCGAGGCCGTGTCGCGGTGAGTGGCCGCTCCAGAGCGGGTGTTGGCGCCAACTTGACTCTCAATTTGACGGGGCCGGAGCTGCTGGTCTGGCCCTGCTGGTCTGGCCCATGGCAGCGCTCCACTCCCACAGCCTCGACCTCCTGCAAACACTCTCAATGCCGCTCTTTCTTGCCCCTCCCCCGTGCCATCCAACACCCCTGCCAGGAGTCGTACCTGAAGCAGTGCGGGGCGGTGTGGGTTGCGGCCGAGGTGACGCGCGCCGTCGACAACGCGTCAGCAAAGGACCTTTTGGGGTCGACCTTCCGGTGGGCCCCCGGGCCCTGGACCCCCCCCCCCCCCTTGCGGAGTGCCCCCCTTGGGGGTTGGGGGGGTGCGGCTAGCTTAGGCGCCGAGCCGCCCCGCTGCAGCGTGTCTAGTTGATGGCCCCGCTTGTCCAACCCCTGCACTCGTACCTCAGCCAGCATGAGCTTGCAGCTGACACACCTGCACCTTCAAAGGGCCGTAACGCTGTGCCTTGGATAGCCGGCCCACGCCCACTGTCCTGCCATCCCGGCCGCAGGCGCCAGATGCTGATGGACGGGCAGTACTCCAACATCTCATTTGTGGCCACCAAGACAGACAACATCAAGGCACGGCCCACGCGCGCCGCTGCCGCACACACCTTTGCCTGCCCCTGGCCCGAGAGCGGCTCCCTGCTCACTCCGCTCAAAGCATAGCCCGCGCCACAGCCCGTGAGCTCATTGGCAACAAGTATATTCGCACTGACAACGCGTATTCGCACCCAACAACCCCCCCCCCAGGTCAGCGAGATCGTGCTGAACCTGGGCGCGCGCGAGATCTGCGAACGCAGCGGCACCAGCCCCGAGGACTTTGCGGCGCTGGACGACGCCATCAGGGGGCTGCAGGGCGACCAGGAGGGGCTGGAGGGAGAGCTCAAGAGGCTGGCGCGGCAGGTGCGTGTGCGTTTGTGGGGGGAGGTGTCAGGGGCTGGGTCTGTTGATTGTGCCACGTGCGGGGGGTCTGCGGGCTGGCCGCATGGGTAGGCCTGTGCTGCACAGCAGGGCTTTGCGCACGCTGCTTCGCTTTCCTTGTTTTTGCCCCTTGAACTTATCCATCCAGGGCACAGTAGCCAGGTGCGTGAGGGTTTGTTGAAGGAGACGGCCTTCACTTCATTGTTGCAAAATGCTGCGCCCCTCGCGCCGCCCTCCGCCCCCAGATCACCGTGTGTAACACGCGGGCCGCCAAGCGCCAGGACGCGCTGGACCTCCTGGGCATGGCGCGGCACAGGCTGGCGCCGCCGGGGGG